GTATGTTCTAACCTTGACATTGATGCTCATTGGCACAGTCGGAACTCAGGTTGTAGGCATATCTCCTCATGAGTAGCTGGGCACCAATCCCAGTTGAACTCAAAGTTCTCAGAGTTACACTACTAGTTCACTTCCCCCTGTTCTAGAAGGCAGAATGACTGCTACTTTTAGATTATAACTTCATTGATAGGGTACTTAGACTGGCTAGTGTGAGCAGCTGGAGAGGAAAAAGACCCTCCAATGAGGGTCTCCTTTTACAATGAGGAGACCCATTGTATTTATACAGTACTCACTGGAAGGATCAGCCTAGTCTTTTTACACCACTTCTATTGATTGATCACAGTCTGTCCCTGTGGTTCAAGGTGACTAATTAGAGTGATTCTGCAGTTGGGGTAATTGTGGAGTTGAGTTGAAGGGAGAAAGGGAGGTTCATTTTATCTCTGGCTGGAAGAGCTTTGTAAATGTAATTGGCAGGTGTTTAGTTTTTATTGTACCTCTTTTTCTGTATTTCAGTATGTTCCACAGCAGTTGTTTAATTAAATGAAAATGTAATAGGGCACTGTGGTGATTTGGGGCCCCAGTTGCAGTGGATGTGATCATGGAAGTAATGATTTGTTGCCATCATGTAAATAAAGCAGGGATTACAAGCTCAAATGCCTGAGTATCAGGCAGGTAATGTAAATGAGGGAAGTGAGCCAGGAGGGAATGTATTAGGATGTAGTGGCGACTGTAGTGTACTGGAATGTGGGCACAGTATGACCATTCTTCCTATTTTTCAAGAGAAACTGAGAATTCAGATCATTGTGTTTTAAACTGTTGGCAACTAGTTAAATTATTTAAAAACCTTTTACAGGAGGAAAAATGTATGTCTGTGGACTAGATTCTGCCTGATGACAGTGGAGGATGACCCCTGTTATACAAAACGGGCAGGCCTTATGAGACTTAATCACTGCAATCCTCTGCGTATAATCATACAGACTCACTTTTTTTTCCTTTTTATTTATTTATTTATTTATTTTTGGCTGCGTTGGGTCTTTGTTGCTGCATGCGGGCTTTCTCTAGTTGCGGCGAGCGGGAGGCTACTCTATGTTGCAGTGTGCGGGCTTCTCATTGCGGAGTATGGGCTCTAGGTGCACGGGCTTCAGTAGTTGTGGCATGCAGGCTCAGTAGTTGTGGCTTGCGGACTCTAGAGCACAGGCTCAGTAGTTGTGGTGCACGGGCTTAGTTGCTCCGTGCCATGTGGGATCTTCCTGGACCAGGGCTTGAACTTGTGTCCACTGCATTGGCAGGCGGATTCTTAACCACTGCACCACCAGGGAAGCCCGCAGGCAGATTCTTAACCACTGTGCCACCAGGGAAGTCCTCCAGACTCACTTTTTTTTTTTTTTAAAGAATGATATGGGGGGGTTCTTTTTATTTATTTATTTATTTATTTATTTATTTGGCCATGTTGGATCTTAGTTGCAGCACGCAGGATCTTTCGTTGCGGCGTGCAGGCTCTTCGCTGTGTGCAGGCTTCTCTCTAGTTTTGGCATGTAGGCTGCAGAGTGCACACACTCAGTAGTTGCAGTGCACGGGCTCTCTAATTGTGGCGCATGGGCTCTCCAGTTGTGGCACACAGTTCTAGAGCACACGGGCTTAGTTGCCCCACAGCATGTGGGATCTTAGTTCCCCGACCAGGAATCGAACCCATGTTCCCTGCATTGGAAGGCAGATTCTTAACCACTGGGCCGTGAGGGAAGTCCCCAGGCTCACTTTTTTTAAAAAATAGATTTATTTATTTATTTATGGCTGATTCGGGTCTTCATTGCTGCCCCCGGGCTTTCTCTAGTTGCAGCGAGCGGGGGCTACTCTTCTTTGCAGTGCGTGGGCTTCTCATTGCAGTGGCCTCTCTTGTTGCGGAGCACGGGCTCTAGGCACGCGGGCTTCAATAGTTGCGGTGCATGGGCTCAGTAGTTGTGGCTCGTGGGCTCTAGAGCATAGGCTAAGTAGTTGTGGCACACGGGCTTAGTTGCTCCGCGGCATGTGGGATCTTTCTGGACCAGGGCTTGAACCCGTGTCCCCTGCATTGGCAGGCGGATTCTTAACCACTGCGCCACCAGGGAAGCCCACCGGGCTCACTTTTTAATCTTTGTCGTACTCTGCCAACTTTCACCATTAGTTGTCATTTTGGGTGCCCTGAGTGGTTAAAAGATGAGTGGGGGAAAGAAGTCTTGTTTCATTTTTCATCTCCAAGCTGGCAGAAGGGGCATCTTGAGCAACTTTGAGCTTATCTCAGTAGCTCACCTTGCATATAATTCTTGGGATAACCTCAGAATATCCATAGAGGGAGGAGGGGGAATGGCAGAGCTGAGGTACACTGGTCACCTGATTATCAGGTTGGGAGGATTTTCCAGTTGTATCCTGTCAGGGCACCAGCTTTTTTCTTGGTTTGATTTTCTCTTACCTCCACCCTTTGAGTAAATTTCTTGAGTCCAGCAAGTTGTTTACTAGTTTAGTAATTTGGGGTCACTCTTAACAAAACACAGAACTATGGTGCGTTCCTTGGCTAGCTCTGGAAACCTTAAAAACTCTGTGTCTCTGGTGCTTCTCTGGGATGTTTGAGAGATCGAGTGAAAATAAACCTCAGAAGGGCCAGCTGATGGTTGTTCAGCCCCCTGGTACCGTCTGCCCTCTCAGAAAGCCCATCAGGGTTTTCGTGGTTTACGTAGCTCTGTATTAGACATCAAAGCGCCATGAAAAAGAAAAAAAACCTGAGTCTTTGCCTTTGGAGAATCTAATTTCTAATTGAATAAGAACAACTTTTAAGCAATGAAGAAAAAAAATAACTTAATGGTCTACTAGTAATCTATTTAGAACCAAAGAAAATAAGACACATATATACATATGGGAAGAACGGACAATTACATAAAGAATTGTATATTTCACAGAAGAAATGTGAACATGCAAATAGCATATGAGGAGACTTCAGGAAGATACATGTGAAAACAGAAGCATTATGATTTGACTGGTGGATAAATGTGGGTTCCTTTTGTCCATAGAGTGCCTAATATGGAAGATTTGTAACTTCTAGTACAGAAACAAACATGGGATACAGAAAGAAGGTTTGCCTGCCTGGCTTAGAGTCCTTGTCTTCTATGAAGTAATTGTTCTCACAAGAGGTGGATGTGAGCTGTACCAATACTGAAGAGTCAGTCTTGATATTCTTTCAGTTATTCATTTGTTCATTCCGTATTTATCATTTTTCTTACTATATGTTAGGCATTGAGGATAAAAAGGTGATAAATTATGGTCTCTTTCTGAGATGCTCATAGACTCATGGGAGAGAGAGATTAAATAAATAATTATAAATGAGTATAAGATATGTTTAAATAGAGGTATGTACTGTGCCATGGGGTGACAAAAAAGGAGTACTAATACTCTCTGGGGGAGTGGGTTAGCTAGGGAAGACTTAACAGAGCAGGCATTATCATAATAACAGCCAACCTTTTTGGGGGTTTTAATATTCCTAATAGCATGCCAGGCCTTACAACAAATGGGTGAAGAGGTACTATCTCCATTGTGCAATGCAGAACTGTAAACTGGGAATCAGAGAGGCTAAGAAACTTGGCTAAGATCATATAGGTAATAACAGTCAGGAATACCACTGTGGTATTCTGATTCTCTCGTTGACTTTTGGATGGAATGAGTAAGGGTTAGGGTTTATACAGCATATAAGGGACATCAGTGTCCCCAACGCAGCTTAAAAACCGAACATTACCAAAACTGGGGCAGCGGGTATGCCCTTCCCTATTAGTCACGTCTCCCCTCCCCTTAGCTAACTGTTGTAAATTTTTTTGTTCATTTCCCTGGGGTATGGTCTTAGAGGTGGAATTGCTGAGGTATAGCATATAAACTTCTTCAACTTTGCAAGATAATGCCAAATTGTTGTCCAAATGAGTTGTATCAGTTTACAGACTTAACAGCCACTTGGTCTTTATTTTTACCAACTTTTGGTATTGTCAAATTAAAATTTTGTGCTATTTTGGAGGTGTAAAATGGTTTCTCATTAATAATCTTATTTTGTAATTTTATTGAGTATTAATGAAGCTCATAATCTTTTCGTATATATATTTACTGTTTGTATTTTCCTTATTCTGTGAAATGCCTGTTCATGTCTGTTGCCAGTTTTGGGGAGGGTTTATATGTCTATCCTTATAGTTTTGTAGCAGTTATATTATGGATATTGCTTCTTTTTTTTTTTAATTTTTATTGGATTACAGTTGCTTTACTATACTGTTAGTTTCTACTGTACAGCAAAGTGAATTAGCTATACGTATACATATATCCCCTCTTTTTTTGGATTTCCTTCCCATTTAGGTCACCACAGAGCATTGATAGAGTTCTCTGTACTATATAGTAGGTTCTCAGAAGTTATCTATTTGATACATAGTATCAATAGTGTATATATGTCAATCCCAATCTCCCAGCTCATCCCCCCACCCCCACCCCCAGCCCCTTTCCCCCTTGGTATCCATACGTTTTTTTCTCTATGTCTGTGTCTCTATTTCTGCTTTGTAAATAAGATCGTCTATACCATTTTTTTTCAGATTCCACATATATGTGTTAATATACGATATTTGTTTTTCTCTTTCTGACTTACTTCACTCTGTATGACAGTCTCTAGGTCCATCCATGTCTCTACAAATGACCCAATTTCGTTCCGTTTTATGGCTGAGTAATATTCCGTTGTATATATATACCACATCTTCTTTATCCATTCTTCTTTGCTTCTTTATTATATGTTACATATATTTTCTCCCAGTTTGTGATTTATCTTTTCCTCTTTTTTATGGTGTCTTTTGAGTAAATGTCTTTAATTTTAACATGGTTTAATTTACCAGTTTTTTTTATGGGTTCTGCTTTTTGTTTCCTATTTAGGTACGTCTCCCCTATGCTGAGATTATAAAAATATTCTCATATATTTTTTTGGCCACGCCACATGGCTTGTGGGATCTCATTTCCCCAGCCAGGGATTTAACCTGAGCCATGGCAGTGAAAGTGCTAAATCCTAACCACTAGACCACCAGGGAACACCCTCTTATATTCTAAAAGTTTTCAGGTTTTGCTTTTTTACATTTAAGTCTTTAACTCATTCTAAAGAGAATTTTTGGTATTCCATGAAGGATCCAATTTATTGTTTCTGTTTCTCCTGCTTTTGTTTAGATCTAGAGGGAGTTGCCAGTTGCAGAATGCTGCAAAGCACCATTGTAATCCTATAGGCCCAGCTTTAAACAGATCGTGCTTTCAAAGAATACATGTTGCTCACAGTCTCTGAGCAGATAAGCCACTAGCTTATTTGGCTGGGGGATATTCGTTGGTGTGTATTTGGTCATTCCTTCTCATATTATTTCTGATAAAAGGTAAACCTTAAGTTCTTTTCTACCATACCCGTGTGGTCTCTGCCGGCCTTTGTGACCTTATGGCAAGGGGTTCTAGGCCATTGGCTACGAGACAGCAAGTGCTTCATTGGAGCTTCCCATTTGAGCATCAAGGACAAATTCCCTTGGGAGATTCTTGGGTGAGGAGACATGCTCAGAGGCTTGGAGGGAGATTAGGCCACTCTGCATAGTCCTTGAAAATAATTCCTCTTTATTCCTGAGATGTTTCTTTTTTACTAAGAAACCTAAGACAATGATTTTTTGCTTAGATCTTTGCTATCTTAGAAAATTGTTAGCTTTTGATGCCTAATGAATTTTGATTGTTAGGTTGATTATTTCAGTTGGTATCCCAGTTCAAAATTTATTTCCTCCAGAAAGCCTTCCAAATAGCATGTAGATCCTATTAGATCTCAGTTAAGTCCTGTTGACACTTCTGTTTGCAATTTGTAGTGCAGTGTTGTTGTTATTTACTTGTTGCTGTGTTGTTCTCAGTATAGGTGTTTTCTCTCATTCTCTTAGTTCTTTAAAAGAGAAATTAAACGGACTTCCCCGGTGGTCCAGTGGTTAAGACTCTGCACTTCCACTGCAGGGGGCGCGGGTTTGATCCCTGGTTGGGAAACTAAGATCCCACATGCCGCGCAGCACGGCCAAAAAAAAAAAGAGAGAAATTAAATATTCTTATTTTATAGTGGCCCCCTCCAGGCCCCCCAAAATATTTTTTACAATGATAGGTAGTCTGTATATGTACTATATATATTGAAAGCCCTCCATGATATGCTCCCTCTGCAACTTGCTTTTCTAGCTTTACATGCTATTATTCTCCTAGGAATAATGTTCCAACAAGTCTGGAATAATCATGACCCCCTAAATACATATTGCATTTTCCTACCAATAAGCCTTTACTCTTGCCATTCTCTCCTTGTGTTTTTGACTGTTTGAATCCTGTCTTTCATTTGCCTTTCCAGGGCCCTCTGCCAGAAATAATTTTCTTTGCTTCACTACTGTGACACTGTGTATCACTTATGTATTGGAGATATGTATGGGTTTGTGTGTAGATGTATGTGTTTAATCTACTAGATTATAAATTTCTTGTGGGTGTGTAGGGACAATTCTGTATGACTCTGTCTAGCATTTTGCTTAGCATGTGCTAAGTAATATCTGGTTGACTGAAATAAATGTTTGTTAGTTAATTAACTTTGATTGCTGCTCTTAATCATTTATACATGGAATAATACAACTACTTTTCTGTAGCGCCTACTCATTAAAAAAATCCATTGATTAAAATTTAAAAATAGGTAATATATGTATGTGACATAGAATTCAAAAAGTACAAAAGAATATGCAGAGAAAAATAAGTCTTCCTTTCACCACTGTTCCCCAGTTCCTTTCTCTGGAGGCAACCTCTGTTAGGAGTTTCTTTCTTTTTTTAAAAAAAAATTAATTAATTAATTTTTGGCTGCGTTGGGTCTTCATTGCTGCACGGGCTTTCTCTAGTTGCAGTGAGCGGGGGCTACTCTTCGTTGCGGTGCGCGGGCTTCTCATTGTGGTGGCTTCTCTTGCTGCGGAACACAGGCTCTAGGCATGCGGGCTTCAGTAGTTGTGGCATGCGGCTCAGTAATTGTGGCGCACGGGCTTAGTTGCTCCATGGCATGTGGGATCTTTCCAGACAAGGGCTCGAACCCGCCCTGCAATGTGTCCCCTGCAATGGTAGGTGGACTCCCAACCTCTGCGCCACCAGGGAAGCCCCTGATACTTTATTTTTGAATTTGTTTATCTTTCTTCTACTTCTTGGTTCTCCTTTTCATTGTGGTATGTTCTCATCATTGAATCTTATCTATTAATTGAAGAGAACATTGTTGTGTGTCTAGAGCATTTAGTCTTCTGAGAGTAACCTAGTTGTTTCTTTAAATTGTCTTTAAAATGAGTGTTGTCTTTTGTTGGGTTCCCTTGTGGATTGGGAGAGGTGTTATGGGCCTGGACAAAATTTGTATCAGTTCTTTTTTCCTTTATCATAGTGGTTTTCATTCTTCTCACTTTCTTGTGTAAAAAATATGCAAATAGAGCTACTTGCACGGTGCTTTTTTTCCCTCCATATCTCTGGCTCAGTTTTCTTTTAGATCCTGCTGATCTCTATAAATGCCTCAAGGGCAGAAATTATATCTCATTTCTTTCATAATTATTAATTTTTAATTATATTGATGGTACAGTAATATGTTCTCCTTGTAAAAAATTAAAACATAGATAAGGCTAAGTATCCTCTGATTACACCCTGATTTCATAGTACCTTCTCTAGAGATGACTATGATTGTTGAGTTTGGGGTACATCTGCCCAGACCTTTTATTCTGTGTTTATATATCTCTCTATATGCCTGTACAAAATACATTAAGTATACTTAACAACATAGACGACTCACAAACATAATGTTTCAAGGGAAAAGGGCAAATTGCAGAAGAATACATACAAAATGATATTAATTATACAAAATATAAAAATATGCAGAATGATACATATTGTCTAGAGATACATATCAACGAAGTAAAAGTATAAAGCAACATAAAAGTTTAATAAACATCAGATTAAGAGTAGTGGGACCAGGGCTTCTCTGGTGGCGCAGTGGTTAAGAATCCGCCTGCCAATGCAGGGGACACAGGTTCAAGCCCTGGTCCGGGAAGATCCCACATGCTGCAGAGCAACTAAGCCTGTGCTCCACAACTATTGAGCCTGCGCTCTAGAGCCCGCGAGCCGCAACTACTGAGCCTGAGTGCCACAACTACTGAAGCTCGTGTGCCTAGAGCCCATGCTCTGCAACAAGAGAAGCCACCCAATGAGAAGCCCGCATGCCACAACGAAGAGTAGGCCCCACTCGCCGCAACTAGAGAAAAGCCCGTGTGCAGCGGCAAAGACCCAATGCAGCCAAAAATAATAAATAAATAAATAAGTAAATAAATTTATAAAAAAAAGAATAGTGGGACCTATAGATGAAAGAGAGAAGGATGTGATTAGGGAGGACACACAGAGACTTCAGTTGTACTGTTCTTAATCTGGATACTGGTTGTTATATTCTCTTTATATCTTACTGTATGTTAAATACGGTATATTTTTGAAAACAAAAATCTAGTATTTTATGTAAGGTGGGTTGGTTGGTTGGTTTTTACATAGTTGGCAACATACAGTCATGCATTACAATTTTTTTTTTTCATTCCACAGTATGCCTGAAGCTCTTTCCATGTCTTATTTGCTTTGTATCCTTAGCACTCTGAAAGATGCCTTATGCATAGTAGGTGCTTATTAGGTAAATATTTTTGGAATTCCTTTCCTTACTCTGTTAGCCTTACTGTTTTAATTTTCCTTGAGCCTGATATAAGTGTTTGTCTAACTGTATGTCTCCCCTACCCTGCTTTCTATCCCGTTCGTTTTTAAAAATTTTGTCTTTTCTCAGGAGGATTTCTAAACAATGGGAAGTGATTAGGTTGACTTTACATGTTCCTAGGGTTTTCTCAATGCCAAGAAGAGTCTACCTTACAGTCTGCTTATTAGCGATTTCCTGCTATAAGCAAGTGAACTTGATTTTTCAGAACTTTTCAAAGGTTGCATCACTGCCACTGTTCAATTTTCTGGAGCTGACTTGGCAGAATGGATGCAGTCTATAAATTGACATTGTAACTGTGGTTCCAAACCAGGGCTATTTTTCTAACAGCCTTCATTCTTTTCTTTTAACTTAAACCTTCATTATTTATTGAGTTGATAAAAAAGGAAGAACAAAAGGAAGATCTGAAATATTTCTTTAACAAACTAGCAACATGGATGTATCTGCATATCTATATGATTCGTAGGAGAGATTTGGGGGACAGTTGACTTTGAAGAATTTGACATGCTTGTTAGAGATTGTTGAGGTGCCTTTGAAAAGTTTCTGGTGTGATGCTTTTTCAGGTATATCTTGAACTTGCAGAGGCCTCTAGAAGAGCCAGGTAGTTGGATTCATAACATAAGAAGGGCTGAAATCTTGGTACTGAAAAGTTAAATCGTAGTTCTGACCTTATCAGGTACTGATTTAAGCATGGGTGTGCTCTTGGATAACCAAATATTAACTAACTTTTCTCTTCACTGTTGCAGTAGGTTTGCCAGGATGGTGGATAAAAATATTTACATCATTCAAGGGGAAATTAGCATTGTGGTTGGGGCCATCAAACGAAATGCGCGATGGAGCACCCATACTCCACTGGTAAGTGGGCAGTGGGTAGAGAACCTGGTCACTGAGTTGCTGTAGGGGATCTGGTGCGTGGTTAAAACAGTAATCAATTTCCTGGTAATAATGATAATAGTAGGAATTCAGCGTTTTTCAGAAGGGTTTCAAGGACCGTTTTGTTTTATTTCAACTAGAGTCAAATTTTTAAGCTGTGTTTTTTTCTCTGGAAGCCAAGAGATGATACCATTTTTCTTCTAGCTGTTTTCATAAACAACTTAAGCTAACACTTGGGATCTCTTTAATATGCCTAAAAATGTCAGAAAGATTCCTTATCTTCTAATTCCCAAGAACTATAATTAGCTATCAAATTCATTTCAGTTAGTTTAGTTATTGATACATGGAGTATGGCTTGCTAATGGTACTCCTTGGGAATTCAGCAACTTTTCTTATATAGAGCAGACCATA